CGTCCGCCGGGGGTCCGCGGCGTGCGGGGCCCGCGCCCCTCGGTTCGGAGTCGCGCAGTGCCGCAGCGCCCTTCTCTTCCCCGGCCGCTCCCCACCCAGCCTCCGCAGCCACCTTCCCTCCTAGCCCGCTGTCCCGCAGCACAGGTCCCCACGCCTTCCCGCGCCTTTGTTCTGCCGCGACCTGGGGCCGGACGGAGCGGCTCCCGCCGGGGGTCCGCGGCGTGCGGGGCCCGCGCCCCTCGGTTCGGAGTCGCGCAGTGCCGCAGCGCCCTTCTCTTCCCCGGCCGCTCCCCACCCAGCCTCCGCAGCCACCTTCCCTCCTAGCCCGCTGTCCCGCAGCACAGGTCCCCACGCCTTCCCGCGCCTTTGTTCTGCCGCGACCTGGGGCCGGACGGAGCGGCTCTGGACGAGCGCTGGGCCCAGGGCGGCCCCGGAGGACCAGAACGGCGGAGCACGCCAGCGTGTGCGGGATGCGGAAAGGCCGGGGATGGGAGCCATGGTGCTTGGACCGGATCTGTGTGGATGCTCGTCCTGGAGTAGCGCCGGGGTACTGGAAAGTGAAGACCCAGCCTTGCAGGAGCGCTGCGCGCCGAGGACCGAGGCTACGGCCAGGGGGCGCCCGGGGCCTCCCAGCAGGACGAGGACCCGGAAGGAGGTGGTGGCCTGCACAGATAGAGGGCATCTGGAGGACCGCCGTGCGGTCTAGCTCACGGTAACTCCAGCACCTTGCTTAACCTCCCTGCAGCAGAGCAGAGGTAGCGCCAACCGCTATGCCTATCTCAGTGCCTTCAGACCAGCTCCGGCTTCCCAGGACCCACTAGAAAACGTCCTGGAGTGTAGATGCAAGGGCTCTACCTCACTCTGCGTCAGAATAAGCAACAGAAACAAAATATTATTCCCCAACTTCTCTTCATTCAGTCATCTGGATGGAGTTTAAGGGAAAAAAAAAAAAAAAGATTTCAGGCAGATATTGACTCCAGTGTTAAGGCAGAGGGTGAAGAGTACCACATATATCAGGATGCCTAAGCTAAGGAATACACAAATACATAACCGAACTTAAAGGCAGCTTAGATGAAAGAAAATTTAAAAACTAAGATTTTAGGGTTGTTATAAAAGTTGTGTTACAAGGGACAGATACAAGTAAATGGCCGTGGACATAGAAATGGGTTCTGTCTTGTTGCTGTGAAAAAATACTCTAACAAAAACAATTTAAGGGAGAAACGGTGAATTCTTGCACACAGTTCAAGAGTACCGTTTATCAGGGCAGTTGGTAGCATTGCATCCACAGTAAGGAAATGCCTGTGCTAGGCTCTTTCTCCTTTTTGTACAGTCCAGGATCCCAACCCAGGAGATGGTGCCACCCATAGTGGGCAGGTCTTCCTAATCAAGCTGTTCCCCCACAAACACGCCCAGAGACACCCTAACCTGGATAATCCCTCACAGGTGCTGGAAAAGGCCAGATTCTCAAGGTGACTTGAGATTTGCCACCACAGGTTTCAAGCTGGAAAAAACGGTTTGGAAAACAAGACATGTATTCAGGCACATCCATTATTCCAATTTGGTTTGAGAAATGAAAAGGAAGTTATTTGGGATGAGTACCCAGGAGACATAATCCAGAAGACAGGATTTAGAGGTAGGGTTCTGATTTAAATTCCAGCTTTACTATATTAGCTATGAAATTAGCTAAATTAATTTCTCTGCCTCTGTTTGCCTACCATGAACCAAGAACTGTGTCAAACAATGGGGATGTAAGGAGCCTGCATTAGGTTTCTCTAAAGAACCCAAACTGACTAAATATATATAAGGATTTATTAGATTGGCCACAGGACAAAGTCGGAGTGGTTCAGAATTGGCTGTGCCACGCTGGAGAGGCTGAGAATCTGGTAGCTGCTCAGTCCACGAGGCTGGCTGTCTCAGCAGTCCCAATCTGGTGCTAAAGACCTGAAGGATTCCTGGAGGTCTGTTAGTCCAGGGACAGAGAGAAGCTCAGTAGGTAAAAGTGCTTGCCATCAAGCCTGACAACCTGAGTTCGACCCCCAGACCCACATGGTTGTCTTCTGGCATCCACATGTGCACCACGGCACTTGCACACTTGAATCATGATCCAGTCCATCAGTATTAACAAAGAGAAATAGCAACACCACCTCATCATAAAATGTAAATGAAAGACAACCTCCTCTACCTTTCTGTCTTCGTGTTTATGGATGATCGAGTTAACAAGTATTTCTGCTGATCAGTGATTTTTCAGAGTGGGTTTTTTTTTTCAACTCAACCTATGAAAAACATATCACACACTTTAATGCTCCGAAGCCCACCCTGTTCCTTGGTAGAGAGTCCCATTGTGATCATTGTATCCACTCTTTCTATTCCATATACTTCTCAGAAAGTGGGCTCCAGCCCCAACCTGAAAGACCTGGAAATGTAACTAAATTCTACCAAGTTATGGGCTGGAGAATTGGCTCAGCAGTTAAGCGCACTGGCTGTTCTTACAGAAGACCCAGGTTTGAATCCCAGCACCCACATAGCAGTTATACCATCCATAACTCCAGTTCCAGGGGATCCAACACTCTCTTCTGTTCTCCACAGGCATTGAATGACACCTGTGCACTTAAACACATAAAATAAAAATTTCAAGAAATTGTAAAATTTCTACCAAGTTAAATGAGTGGGAGGATGAAAAGGTTGGGTGTTTACCAAATTCCTGAGAAATAAGCTTTTATTTCTTTAATTTTTTTTTTTTTTTTTGGTCTTTTTGAGACAGGTCTCCCTGTAGCTCCAGCTGTCCTGGAACTCACTATGTAGACCAGGCTGGCCTTGAACTCACAGAGACCCACCTGCCTCTGCCTCCCGAGTGCTGGGATTAAAGGCGTGCACCACCATGCCCGGCTTCTTTAGATAATTTTGAGATTTTCAGTTCTTGCATCTAAAATGAGCCTAATAGACTAACCAATGCAGATGCATATATTTGTGAATATTTGATTAGAGGAGGATTTTAGTTACATAAGCACTAATATTTTAACACCTTTGAACTTGGGGATTCCTTCCAGAAGAACAAATACACAATTTTTACAACCCACCTAAAATGCATCTACCCTTAGAACTTTTTTCAAATGTATCTTTTTTTTTTTTTTTTTTTGGTCTTTTTGAAACGGTTTCCCTGTAGCCCCAGCTGGCCTGGAACTCACTATGTAGACCAGGCTGGCCTTGAACTCACAGAGATCCACCGGCCTCTGCCTCCCAAGAGCTGGGACAACAGACGTGAGCCACCACGCCTGGCTTCAAATGTATCTTTTTAAAAAAGAGCTTTATTTTTATGTGCATGAGTGTGAGTGTTTTGCCTGCATTTATCTAAGTGCACCTTAGGTATACCTGTGAAGGCCGGTAAAGGGTGGCAGATCCCCTGGAACTGGAGTTACAAACTGTTGTGAGCTGCCATGTGGGTGCTGGGCACAAAACCCGGGTCCTCTTCAGGTCCCTCTGCAGGAGCAGCAAGTGCTCTTAACAACTGAGCCAGGCATCAGCTCCCAAAATGTACCCTGAATTTTACTCTGACACTTTATACGTTTTCAGCTTAATTTGCTATAGAAAGTCCTGATTTTCCTCTATTCATTTTCTTTGTTTTTTTAATGGGGTTTTTGCTGCTCTAACATCCCCCCCCCCAAGAGGTAACTCTAAAATCTTTTAGGGATTAGATAAAAGCTCACAAATACTTTCGACATTTTTGGCCTTTGGAACAGAGTATGTTACTAAAAGGCTCAAAGTCATTGTGAGTTTTAGCCAAGAAACTGGCTACTTTTCTGTGGGGTCTTTTTACCTTGACTGCATAGTCAATTCCTACCTCCTATTCTTATCACACCATCCTCTGAAGAAGTTACCCAAATTGCCAATAGGGAATCGGGACACAGACCTCTCTGGCTTCTTCCATGCTGAACAGGGACACAGGGTGAGGCAACTGGGGTACCCCTTCAGTGGGTTTATCTAAGACTTTTATCTAAAAGACTCCCAAACTGCATAACCCTTACCTGTAGGGGGGAAAGAAAGTCCTTGACTGGTGAATAGATGTGAATAAGTAAAGGCAAGAGTAATTAGCATTACAAGTTCTAGACAGGGAACTAGAAAAAAGTCAGAACAGGGCAATTTTCAAATGTTCCTATGAGAGTCCATGGGAATTTCTTGTCAAGAGCTTCCAAAAGCATCTCTCTGTTGAGTTCCTCCTCACTTTTCTTTTGTCTTCCAAGGCTGAACTCTAGAGTGATGGATTCAGGATTTGCTTTCAGGTATTTTGATACTGATGCAGTGGGTAGAATCAGTGCCAGTTCCCTCTCAAAGGCTTCCAGATAACTGAGGGGTTGCTGAGGGATATGTATGACCCGAGGGTATGCGCACTGGAAAGCCTTTACCCAAGCATGGGTCAAGCCTTCTCTTCCTAACCTTCCTCAGATTGTATACTTTAGCCCTCCCCAAATCCAGGAGGCCATGTGTGATTAGGATCAAATTACCTACAGTTGGCTGGGAAGAGTGGCTGGATACTCTGGTGAGGGTCCAATGACCCTGCTTGGCCCTCCTTTAATAAATGAGCACAACCCTCGACAAGCCCAATTATGACAATGTTTAGTGATGAGGCACAGCTGAAGTTGTGATGATGGTGGTTATTTGATGCAGAAGAGACTGCTGTACAGCATCATCTTATTAAAAGGACATGGAATTTAAAAGGATTTGGTGCTAGGATCCACATAGAGGGAGAACATTGTATTTCTGAGTCTGTGTTACTTCACTTAGTATGACAGTTTCTAGATCCATCCATTTACCTGCAAATTCCATTATTTCATCTTTTTTACTGCTGAATAAAACTCCATTGTGAAAATATACCACATTTTTGTTAACCACTCATCAGTTGAAGGACACTTAGGTTGCTTCCATCTCTTAGCTATTGTGAGAAGAGCAGAAACAAACATGGTTGTACAAGTGTCTCTACAATAGGATGAGTCCTTTGGGTACATGCCAAGGAGTGGTCATATGGTAGGTTCATTTTTAGTTTTATAAGAGTTCTTCACACTGTTTTCCATAGGGGTTACACGAGTTTGCAGTCCCACCAGCAGTGAATGAGCATTCTCCTTTCTCCACATCCTCGCCAGCATTTGGTATCATTTGTTCTATTGATCCCAGCCACTCTGACTGGGGTAAAGTGATACCTTAGGGTGGTTTTAATTTGCATTTTCCTAATTACTAACGATGTTGAACACTTTTTGAGATGTTTCTTAGCCATCTTTATTTCTTTCTTTTAGAACTCTGTTTAGATCTTTAGCCCATCTTTTCGTTGGGTCATTTAGTTTCTTGATTCTTTGTTTTGTGAGTTCTTTATATATTCTGGATGTTAAACCTCTGTCAGATGTGTCACTGGTGAAGATTTCTTTTTCCCATTCTGTGGATTTTCTCTTCAATTTTTTGATTGTTTCTTTGACTGTACAGAAGCTGTTTAGTTTACTGAGGTCCCACTTGTTCATGCTGACCTTAACTCCTGAGCAACTTCTATCCAATTTAAAAAGTCCTTTCCTACACCTATTTCTTATAAGTTACTGACAATATTTTCTTCTAATAGTTTCAGGATTTCCAGTTTCACATTGAGGTCTTTGGTCCATTTGGAGTTGACTTTTGTGCAAGGTGAAAGATAAGGATCTAGTTTCATTCTTCTACAGGTGGAGACCCAGTTTT